CAAAAATGAGCTAGAAAAGAGGGAAAGTGAACATCCGACAGCATCTGCTTTTCACATGCTCGGCCAGCTGCTTTCAGAATTCACATGCTCACTGTTTTGCTTTTATTTCTTTATATTGTAATCAATTGTAAGCATTCAGGCATTCTTCAATTTTCTTCTCCATTTCTGTTGTAAGAAAAAACACAGAGTGTTTTGAGAGCCTTACCAGTTTCCTGTTATAACTATTTAAGATCCTTGCAGTTGCTACTAATACAATTGTAAGTTATTTTATGTTTTAATGTATCAAATGTTTTAATGTGTTATTCCAATGTTTGGTCTGGTTTTGATTTCGTAATCCATCTCCTTCATAATATATATGCTTCCGCCTTGATGGTATTAATTTCATATATCTTTTTTCATTTCTTTTTCTGAATTTTTTCGTAAATTTTCCAATCAAACATAATTTTTTTTTTTTTTGACAGTAGTGATGAAGTGATTTTTCCATGAAAAATGCTTGAGAGTATTAATTAGTGCTCCCATTAATTAGGTGGCAATGGGTCCCGCCATTAATGATGTGATGTTTTGGTCTTGAAGTTGTATTTTTTTTTTTTTAATGCGTTAGTACTATTAGTGGTGATGTTTTTAATGGGATGAATCATTGTTGTTTTTTTAATGAGTCAATAATATAAGCTGTTATCATATGGTGGGCCTATGGGGTAGAGATGGAGGCTGGGAAGATGAGTGGACTGATGGGATTGGAAGGGAGAGAGGTGATTCACTATGGTGAGAGTGCATGATAGGATTCAAATGAGGTGAGAGTAGCCAATAAGTCTCATATATATATATATTTTTTTTTCTTGTGATCTATTTTGTTATTTTTGATGTATAATGACTTATTTACCTATCATATTAGAGTGTTACATTTGAAAAAAATATAATAAAGAGTATTTTAGTATCACATCATATCTACTGCGTTAGAGTATCACATTTAAGAAAATTATACTAAAGAGTTTTTGAAAGCGTTTGGTAAAATTTTAAAATTATGATTTGAAAATAGAGTTGTATTTTGAATTTGTGAGTTTTGCAATTATAATTTGAAAAGAGAAAACATATTTGATAATGAGTTTTGAAAAGAGTTTTAAATTTTTGATATGACGTGTGAAATGAGAAAATTACTTGGTTATGAGTTTTAAAAACTTAATTGAAAAACTTACAACTCATAACCGAATACATAACTCAAAACTCTATTGAAAATTCTATTCAAAACTCATAAATAAACTTTTTAAAATTCAATTAAAAAAAATCATTTTGATCTAAAAAAATAATTTTTATATTTAAAAAAATTGAAAAATAAATAAATAATAGTTGACGATTGGCAATTGCCAAAAAAAAAAAAAAAAGAAGTTCTGTTCTGGTCAATCGACTGGACATCCAGGAGGATGTCCGAGCGAATGATTGGGTAGACCAAAAATTAAAAAAAAATGTCTACTTTACCAAACATGTTTTCAAAATGTGTTTTGAAATTGATTTGAAATCATGATTTGAAAACTTAAAACCAAAAATAGCATTAGAATGTAAATGTGGAATTAGTTTTAAAAAATTAAATGAAACATAGCTTTTAATTTTTTTACAGTGTCATATTATATTTGGCACGTTAAAGTGTCATATGTTACGTTTGGCAAAATTATACTAATGAATTTTTAATTTTTTTGAAGTGTCACATCATACCTGTCACGTTGTCACATTTGAAAAAAGTATACTAATAAGTTTGAAAAATGCTTCGGGTGGCGCGTCGTGATTGGGTAAAAAAAAACTGTTTTATTTTTATTTTTTATTTTTTTGAGTTTCAGCCAATGGGGGCTCGCCACCTCACTGGGGGTGCGACCCCCATTGGGGGTCTGCAGCACAGTTGAATAAGTTTTTAGTTTTTTGGAGTCTTACATCATACCTGTCACGTTGTCACATTTGAGCCATGTTGTCCCATTTAGAAAAAATACACTAATGAGTTTTTTTTTTTTTTTTTTTTTTTGAGTGTCACATTATACTCGCCACGTTATCATATTTAAAAAAAAAAAAAAAGTATACTAAGGAGTTTTTAATTTTTTTGGAGCGTTGCATCATACCAACTACGTTGTCATATTTGGGATAAGTACACTAAAGAGTTTTTAATTTTTTTTAGTAAAAAATTTAGAATATCACATCATACCCACCACATTATCACATTTTAGAGAAATACATTTAAGAATTTGTTTATTTTTTTTAGAGTGTCACATTATATCTACTAGTTGAAATGTCACATTAATATCTGTCATAATAAAATGTGACATCATATCTGTCACATTAAAAAAAAGATATAGTCATCTACCAAAATTTCAAAATCAAAAATAGGATCATACATAAAAAAATTCCGCATTGCTAGAACTTAACAAATCAATAAAAAAAAATTAGAAAAAACGTGAAACTAATTGAAATACTGGTACGTGAGATTACTCAGATGGCTTGATATGGAGTATTTATAATCCGGTGTGGTGAGTTAAAATTTACAACTTAAAGAACTAATCAGAGAATGACCCGTGTAATAAAAAAATTTTCCCCTCCATGTATGTAAAAGAACATGAACGGATTGGTTGGATTGAAATCATTTTGAACGTTCGGGGTTTAAAGTAATTAAATTAAAATTTTGAGATTTAATTTGAAAATAAGACACTGTTTCGCTAAAGAACAAAACATAAAATTGGTTTCAAATTCTTTTATCTTTCTCTTCAAAATATAAAATTGAAGTTGTAAAATTCCTAGTAAAGTATTTGCATGCATGTAATTAAAACCAAAACTAACTAATTTTATATGTTCTCAAATCAAATCATAATTAAATTCTCGATTTAATTTTTAATTTGCTCTAACTTAGATTTATATCAATTTTTCTTCATATTAAACCCAAAACTTAAATTATGATCATAGATATTTCAAAATATAATTAAATTAAATAAAACTCTTCACTTACATTATATGCATAAATTAAAGATTAAAATCAAACTAATTCTTGATTGTCAAACTCAAATCATAATTTACTTCTTAACTTATCCCACTACAAGAAAAGAGCCCAAATAACACGGAACTTTTTGCGACGGTATAGGTACCGTCGCAAAAAATGGTCTTTTGCGACGGCATTTTCAGGCCGTCTCAAAAAATGATTTTTTGCGACGGCATTTTCAAACCGTCTCAAAAAATGGTCTTTTGCGACGGTGGTGACCCCGTCGCTAATGGAATTTTTTCTATCCCGCTCATTTTAGCCTATTCGCGGTCATCTGTTTCCCCAAAATCCCCAAACCTTTTTGAACCAACCCAAAATCCCTAAAAACTTTAAAACCAAAATCCCCAAAACCATTTGGAACAAAATCCCCAAAGCCCGTGAGCCAAAATTCAACGACGGTGACGGACGACGGTGATCGACGACGGCTAGCAGCGAGGGAGCAGCGAGTGACGACGGCGACGACGAGTGACGACTGTATGCCCCTCTCTCTACATATATATATATGGCGATGTTGTTGACTAGTTTTTTTTATAATACTGCTTAAGTACCCCAGTAATAAAATAAAGTCAGTAGTATTGACATTCTTTTCTTCAAATCGCAATTGACACAGTTCAATTTTTATTTAATTAGTGATGAAAATTTCATGGTTAAAGCAATTTTTGGGTCACATGGATTTCGATACCTGTGAAGCTAGTTGTGTCTTACTTTTCAATTTTTGCACTTTCTACTGTAGTCAATTTGTGTAAGAAACTTCCTTCTGAATGTCCTGCACCTTTAATGGAGGCAGTTCCAATATTGTGTAAACTTCTTCAGTATGAGGATCGGTAGGTTTGTATCATGTTTTTGTGTGTGCGGGTTATCTTGTCACTGGAATATTTGATCTTATAATTTTTTTAACATTTTCTTGTTTTTCCATGTCATTCTCAGCTTGTTGAAAATGTAGCCACTTGCTTGATAAAGATAGCAGAAGGAGCACGCCACACGTCTGATATGTTGGACGAACTTTGTAAACATGGACTGATTCATCAAGCTACACATCTGATAGACTTGAATTGTCGAACCATCTTGTGCCAACCAGTTTACACCGTATGCAGTCTCTTTATTTATGTTTTGTGTGATGGTTGTCCTCAATATCCTACCATGTCTATTTATTCAAACTTTTTCCATATTGGTTTACAGGGTTTGATTGGGCTACTTGTCACACTTGCTTCTGGTTCAATTGTAGCTGTCAGGACTCTTTTTGAGCTTAATATAAGCAGCATATTGAAGGATATCTTGTCTATTTATGATCTTTCTCATAAAATGCCTTCTCCTAATATGGTTGATGGACATTGCAATCAGGTACTCTTCTTGCTCCTATAGCAACACAATTTCATTAATCTGCAGCTATTTCTTTTCTCATATTGATAAATATCATTATTGGAAGGAAATAGATATAAACTATTATTTCTTTGAATCCTCAACATTCTACTTGAACCTGTGAAACATACGATATTATTAAGTATCACAATAGTGCTTATGGACGTAAGGTGTAAATGGAACAATTGTTTCTATAATGGGATCAAACAAGTGTAATCATAGTTGGTTTAGTTTGCTGGCTTGAAGTCGGCAGGTTTGACAATGGCAAATACTTGTGGAGGCATTATGCATTCTGTTTAAACTCTAACTGAACTCTACCTCTTTCTGAAAATATAACTTGGACCAGCAAATCCATTTTGACTTGCTATGAGTCCTGTTTACTCCAATTGAAGTCTTATGCATTCTGTTTAAACTCTGATTGAACTCTACCCCTTTCTGAAAATATAACTTGGACCAGCAAATCCATTTTGACTTGCTATGAGTCCTGTTTACTCCAATTGAAGTCTTATGCATTCTGTTTAAACTCTGATTGAACTCTACCCCTTTCTGAAAATATAACTTGGACCAGCAAATCCATTTTGACTTGCTATGAGTCCTGTTTACTCCAATTGAAGTCTTATGCATTCTGTTTAAACTCTGATTGAACTCTACCCCTTTCTGAAAATATAACTTGGACCAGCAAATCCATTTTGACTTGCTATGAGTCCTGTTTACTCCAATTGAAGTCTTATGCATTCTGTTTAAACTCTGATTGAACTCTACCCCTTTCTGAAAATATAACTTGGACCAGCAAATCCATTTTGACTTGCTATGAGTCCTGTTTACTCCAATTGAAGTCTTATGCATTCTGTTTAAACTCTGATTGAACTCTACCCCTTTCTGAAAATATAACTTGGACCAGCAAATCCATTTTGACTTGCTATGAGTCCTGTTTACTCCAATTGAAGTCTTATGCATTCTGTTTAAACTCTGATTGAACTCTACCCCTTTCTGAAAATATAACTTGGACCAGCAAATCCATTTTGACTTGCTATGAGTCCTGTTTACTCCAATTGAAGTCTTATGCATTCTGTTTAAACTCTGATTGAACTCTACCCCTTTCTGAAAATATAACTTGGACCAGCAAATCCATTTTGACTTGCTATGAGTCCTGTTTACTCCAATTGAAGTCTTATGCATTCTGTTTAAACTCTGATTGAACTCTACCCCTTTCTGAAAATATAACTTGGACCAGCAAATCCATTTTGACTTGCTATGAGTCCTGTTTACTCCAATTGAAGTCTTATGCATTCTGTTTAAACTCTGATTGAACTCTACCCCTTTCTGAAAATATAACTTGGACCAGCAAATCCATTTTGACTTGCTATGAGTCCTGTTTACTCCAATTGAAGTCTTATGCATTCTGTTTAAACTCTGATTGAACTCTACCCCTTTCTGAAAATATAACTTGGACCAGCATTTTCATTTTGACTTCTTAAAAAAAAAAAAAATAACTGTGGATAGGATTATGAAATATTGGATAAGTAATTGTGAATATTTGAGGAGTATTGGTATTCAATACAAATATAACTCCCTTCTAGAAGTATTCGTGTTTCATAGTTTTTAATCCTATATGCCCATCAGTTTTTCTGGGAACCTACTTTAGAATTTAAAAAATAGAATCTCAATTGCTCTTCAAGTCATAACCCTTTATTGCTTGGGGTGCAACCTTTGATGGTGCAATTAATTTTCAAGAATATTTTCTTTTATAAGTAAATAAATAGAATCTAGAGACAACTTTTTTTCGTAACAAGGATAATATCATAGAAGCTATATTAAATGGACTCCTGTGTGGGTTATGTTACTAATTTGCATGTCCACACAAAGACACCGCAAAATGTTCATATTTTTGGTATTCCTCTTTTATTTTCTAAAGTGAAAACAGTTTTTATAATGTGACAAATAGAATTTCATGCATAATAAGGGAGTTTTATACATAGTTATATGGTAAACCTGAGTTACTAGACATGCTTGCTCAATGAATGTCCAACTACACGTGTTAGTACTCATGTTAGTCATATATAACATACACTTCGGTTTGACACAGTACTCCTAGCAATACCCTTCTTGAGTATTTTTTTTTACCCGAGATTTGTATGTTTGCATCAAAAGGCTAAAAAATAACGATGCATGAGAAGCAAAGAAGCTTCATTATGACCTTTAAAGTTTTTTGTTTCATTATAAAGTTTGAGTTTACATAATTTTTTATACGTATGATACTAAAAGAAACAAAAAGATGCACAGGTTTCAAGTCCAGAATATACTATAAAGCTGGCTTTTGGCATATTTTGATCGTATAGCTGCTTCACTTATAACCAGCCTTTTCTGCCAAGACGAAAAAAAATAACAAAAAAACAAAAACTGTAACCAACCTTTGACATTGACATAAATTATGCATTTCGTCAGGATGTGCTTATTGCTGTGTATTTGGTGTCTTATTATTGCCCATGTAAGCCACACATTTGACTGCAAGTCGGGAATCTTTTTAACTATTGCAGTATTTCACTTTCACTTTCATCTACTTTGAGGTCACTATTGCAGTATTTCACTTTCATCTATATTCATGAATGAACTTTTGCTATCACCTCATTTTATGTCAAAAAATTCAATGTGATAGTTGTGCGTAGCTGACTCCAAACACTTGCATCAACTTTGGTTGAATTGTACATCAGGTTAAGTCTTTTTACATGAAATTCAGCAAGAATTGGCCTTTTCTGTAAACAACAATTGTCCAAAAGGTAAAACAAAGCAGAACATAATTCCATAACTTTCCTCTTCTAAATAGTTAAAACAATATGAAGTGAGACGAAAAAATTGAGAGAGCTATAGAAGGGTAAATTGGGAGAAGATGGGACTCCAATCGGGTCTTCGGTTTGGGAGTTAGGGCCGGATTTCTGTCTAGCCAAAATTATTTACTAAACTATCTTTGTAATTATATAGTAGTTAATTTTTTATGTTTTTCTGTAATTAAAATATTAACACAATTATATTGTCATTAATTATTTTTATTTTGTTATTTTCAGATATTTCTGGAGTAGCAGTTTGCTTCTTGTCGCAGGCGTGTAAAGATTATGACTAACTTTTGTTTTTGTAACCCACGGAAGAATCATGAAGAAAATTTTTGTTTTTTCTTTACGTTATTTAGATTTGTGAACAACATTATGTATGTATTATGCAACATTATGTAGTGGGATAATTTTGCTGATGTATTGCTGTGAATGAAAGAATATTTTAATTATGGATGAATTTTTATTTATATACTGGGCTTTTTATATTATTATGTAATTATCGGTTTTTTTTAGTTATTTTTCATTTAATACAGGTCATTTTCATATTTTTAATAATCTTATTACAGGTTTTTTTTTTTTTGAGACGGCAGCACACACACCGTCTCAAAAAGAAAAATAGAACCAGGGTTTTTTGCGACGGCAGCAATGCTGTCGCAAAAGACAAGGAAATTGGTTGAAAAGGAAGACTTTTAGCGACGGTATTATTTGCTGTCGCCAATAGTGCTTTAGCGACGGTATCAGGTGCTGTCTCAAATAACCTTTTAGCGACGGTATTTGTGCCGTCGCAAATAACTCTTTTAGCGACGGCAAGACAATGCCGTCTCAAAAAAATTCAGATTTTCACATGTTAATGCCGACAGCATTTTTCCGTCGCAAAAAAGCATTTTTGCCGTCGCAAAAAAAAGGCGACGGCGTTATACCGTCGCTAAAACCCTTTTGCAACCCCCTTTGTTGCGACCCCCCACTTACCGTGGCAAAAGGCCAGTTACCGTCGCAAAAAACTTTTTGAGACGGCGTTTTGAGTATTTGCGACGGCATTTTACCGTCGCAAAAAAGCAATTTTTTTGTAGTGTCCAAATTTAAATTTAATTAATTTCTAAATTTATTTTCATAACCATGAACATAGTTCAATTTCTTTTTAATTATATGAAATTGAACTCAATTACTTCTTGATTTTAGCTTTCAAGTAAATTATCTACAAGAGCTAAAGGTTCATTTTCGTACCTAGAGCTTGATTTTGTTGAATTCTTGACGACTTCCTTCAATTTCCAGCAAAGTGACTTCTTTCCAACAAAGCAATTGAGCGCTCTCTCTCTCTCTCTCTCTCTCTCTCTCTCTCTCTCTCTCTCAGCTAGTTTGTCTCGGGCAACCAAAATGAATAGGTATACACTCCCCACTCAATTTATGAAGTCTTCAGCACAATATTGAGGGGTTATTTGAAATGACGTAAATAAGTATATTTTTTGTCTTTTTATGAAAAGATATGCAGAAAAGTAGAGAAGTGATGTGATGAAAAAAAGATAAAAAGATAAAAAGATGAATTATTTTGGTGTTACCACACTTAACCTGAGTATCTCAGCCATTGAATTCTAGAACAATCCCAACTTTTCTTCATTATACACCAACGTGGTAAGTAACTTGAGTAGTACTAGATTAGTCTATTTGTCGCATCGCTTGGGGTACCATGTATGTTAAATACTTTGAACTCTTGATGTTTTTGATCTAATCTCATGAGTGTAATATAAAATGTAGATAAGAATCTAAATCCGATAATTTTTATAGAAAATTCATTTTATTGCAAAATTGTTGCCAGAAATAGACTACATTACCGGATCTTAGAATTGCCACCTAATATTTTGAGAAAATTCGAAAACTCGTGACTCGAGCCAAGGCATTGTTCGTCATAAACAAGGATGCTTGGCTCGGAACCTTAAGAATAAGGGGGGAAGGTCATTAATTGAGCACCCCCACTCACCCGATCAAAAGATCGGCCTCTACTAAACCATGATATGAGTTTTATTTACTTTATATGTTTATATTCCGATTATTTGATAAATCTTAAAATTTACTATGTGAAGTAAACAAATATAAACTATGGCATTCACTTTGGAACAATCTGATTTCATATATTTTGAAAGAGTTTTGAAGATGTACAATGCAAAGAAATTGAGTCTACAAACATGAAATCAATATCATTCCAAATTAAAAGACATAATCTCTATCCACCGACATTCATACACTTATATCAAGTAAGTAGCCACATGGTAGGATGCTAAATATAGTAAGAAAAATATACACAAGTGAGATGCTAAAGCATAAAAACTTACATATATTTACTGGTATCCCGCGAACGGCTACAAAACAAAATTAGAAAAACATGTATGATCCTAGATTCAAGATTCTAATGCAATACATATACAAAAATGCATTTAAGAATTCGGTTATTATTACATGACATGTGAATCATTTCAAGATATAGGGTAGCTGTAGCGATCCCAGTTCTGCCACTTCATTGAGTATGTCGGGGATCGAGCTGCCTGGTCAGCTCGCGGTGGTCCAGGGGGCAGCGCCCCTTGGCAGGTCCTAGGGCAGCGCCCTAGCGGGGTTGAGGGGTAGCGCCCCTGAAGCAAAAATGCAAAATGCATTAGAAGTTGCTTATCCACTCGAATGACTGTTTATGTGCTCGAGCGGAGAATGTTTGGTTTCAAAAGTTTGACATGTCTGCAAAAGTACTGGGAAAGTGTATTTGATGCTCGAGCAAGGCTTTCCACGCTCGAGCGAACCATGTTATATCAGTTCGTGAATCAGATATTTCATATCACTTTTGTATATCTCTCCCTCTCTAAAAACCCTTTACTTTCCCTTCTCTCTAAATTTTCCTATGCCAAATTGGATCACAACCTTTATTTCTCAAGATCAATTAGAGTTCTGCGACAAGTTCTTTATCAAAGTTGGTTAACTTCTCGATTACTTCATTGCGTGTGGTGAAGATCGAGTTTTGACATCGTTGATTTTGAGGGTTTCATCTCATTTTTTCTTCAAAACTTGAGTTAAGGATTTTTCTAGAGTTATATATATATATTTTTGCAAGATCTATATAATTTTCGAAATCATCTTTCAATAGCTTTGAAAATTGATTATTGATTCAAGAAGTTGAGCGATTTTGAATGTGGGTTTGTCTCTTGTTCTTTTAAAATGATCTTATGAGTTTTGATCTTCGTTAATTGAAGAAAAGATGATTTTTGAAAAGTTTTCTTTCAAAAAGTTTGAGTTGTATAGTTTTGGTGAGAAAACCTAGAATTTGGAGATTTTTTTAAAAAAGAGTGAAAATCCATGAATGATATTATTATATTTATTTTGTGTGTCAAAATGAATGGATATTTGGAAAATTTCTTATTCATATTTATATAAAATGATGAATTTCAGAGAATATGAAAATTGTTATTGATTTTGAAAATTATTGTTCAAAACGTTGAAATAGTCTTGAAATGACTAATTGTTGAGGATACTTGAGAAGAGAGAATTCTGTTATTCCTTGGATAATGAATTAGAATAAAAGTATTTATATTCATCTTGTGTTATTAGTATATCAATTCATTTGATTACATTAAACTTTAAAAGTTGATTTGAAAACTTGCATTAAGAAAAGAATATTGACAAACAAATTTTCATGAAATGGCTTTGGGATAAATACGTTGGTAAGTCTGGATAGGTGGTATAGATGATATTGAATAAGTTGGCCTAAGAGTCAGGGATGAAAGACCGAAAACCCGCGCGGATAGATGTGGAGCCTTCCGGTTAATACTAGTAAAAATGATAAATTGGTAGCACTTGTATAGCCTACTTGCAGACATCGACCTAGGGATTACCAGAGTCATGTTTACCACTCTTGAAATGCATTTTTAAGTTTTGAAGAATTGAAATTGCATGACATCATTGAGCATGATGGTTTTCAAAGAGGAATATGTGATTTTCTTTCAAAAGGGCATAGCATGGCATGTGTATTTCATCTCTTGAGACTTGTATAAAATGTATATACTTTGTTAAGGATTTCCTATTGGGCTTTATGCTCACCCTACAGGATTTTTCTACAAGAAAAGATGTGGTAATGCCGCCTAACTAAAGGCGATGAAATGTGTGTTGAGAGTACGAGACTCTCATTTTGGTATGACTCTGTGTGTAAGTCAAGGGCTGTATGTGTATCGATTTGAATAACCATTTTGTGTAATTAAGCTCAAGCCTTGGAAACTTGTAAACCCTTAGGGGTATTTGTTTGTTTATTTACTTGTTGTTGGACTAATGTATTGTTGCATAAAGAACTATTGTATCATGTAATGTAAGTTTGGAGATTTATATTCGGTTTTCCTTGAAAGAACCGTGATTGTTGTATTATCATTTGGACTAAAAATTTGGGGCGCTACAACTTGGTATCAGAGCTACCGGGTTTGAATACTGGGAGCTCGTGGGAAGTGGTGTTTAACCACAATGGGTTCGTTTAGCATGCTTAGGAAGTGTTATGCATTTTGTGACTATGTGATAACATGGTTATGTGACTAAATGGGTATGAGATTGGACTTTTGGGATGTTGTTTGCGCCTATTAAATTCTTTGAGGTCTTATTAGAAAGGTACTTGATCAATACTCATTCTACTAAGAATTCTTGGTTTTTCATGGGACGAATCTCATCATAAGAGTATAATTCGTATGTGTTTACATGACTAAGTGCTTATGTGAAGTGAAATTGAATTGTGTATATGGTAAAGAAATATATGGAATTGTTGTAGTCGAACGTCTAAGTCAAGTTACGAGCACATATGAGTTAATGTGCTAAATTATTTCTATTGTGTCCTTTATTAGGATGTCAAGAAGGGGTCAAGTCCGTGGTGGTAGAGGCCTGGTAGGGCTCTCCGAGGTGTGCATGAGGTATCGGTCCATAGTGTTCCGTTGCAAAAAGAAGGGTTCGGCAAAGCTAATATGGTCGAGTAAGCAAGACAAGCTAATGTAGCCGAGCAGGTGGGACAAGCGGGTCAAACCGCAATGGGGGCCCTAGCTCGAGAAATGGTAAGGGCTTTAAGAGAGTCTATGGACTTGTTAAGTGTTGTTAGTCTTGTGACGGTTGGTGGTCACCTTTTGGGTTGGTGGTTAGTGCTTTTGAAGATGTATTGTTTCGTTTTGTCAAGGTTTTGGAGTAGTAATAATTGTTTTGGCCTTGGGGTGCATTGTGCATTAGGCGATGGATATAGTTAGCTGAAATTGGGTTATCACCAATAAGGTATGGTGTCTTGGTATTTTGAGGAGTCGTTTTGCCAAAATTTTGTTATGCTTAAGGGATTAGATCATATTTTGTTGCTTCGGGATATCGATGTGGATAGAAAAATCTCTTAATGATTTAT